CCAACTTTTGGGCTACTATTTTACCAATGAATAGTGGGATTGACCGTCACATTATAACAGCCCCACAGCTGAAAGAACGAGTACGTTCAGTGAAGGGGATTCGAACTCGCGACCCTTAGATTGCAAGTCGAGCGCTCTAACCACCAGGCCATGCCAGACTAAAGAAACAATCTCAAAATGTAGTTATGATACATCCGTTCCACCACAACTTTATATCGGTTGGGATTGTCATGTGACTTGCTGATTTGCATATTCAGCCTCGTTTTGATATAATGTACTCAACTTTCTTTTGTTATACCAGCTATTTGTAATATCAGTAATACCCACAGAAGAGGACTAAAATTAGTGTTACAAAGAGCTTTTTTATACGTTTTTCGAAAATTAAATAAGAAAGTGACTATTTAGACTTGGACTACGTGTTTATTAATATATATATATATATACCTATGTAACTAGAGAAGAAATAATATTTTCCAGAATGAAAGATCAGAGGTGAAACAGAAGTGGGCGTCCCGCCTGCTAGGGAAGGTAAGGAAAGACATAGCACAAGAGTGTCGGGAAGACTTCGTTCTCTGTATCACTGGGAAGAAGTGGCCCACGTGCGTGCTGAGTAATCCAGACCAGAAGGGCAAAATGCGACGAATTGATTGTCTCAGACAAGCCGATAAGGTAATTGAGTTACTCACTATATCTCTCTGAAACTAACAATGTAACTAACTTACTCAATATCTCTCTGAAACTTACGATCTAAGTAACTTAATCACTATCTCTTTGAAACGTACAATGTAACCGACTTACTCTTTATCTCTTGAAAATTACAACGCAACTGAGTTACTCACTATCTCTCGGAAACTTACAATGTTACTAAGTTACTCACTATCTCTCTGAAACTGGCAATGTTACTAAGTTACTCACTATCTCTCGGAAAATTACAATGTTAGTAATTTACTCACTAACTCTCTGAAACTTATAATTTACGTAAGCTACTCACTATCTCTCGGAAACTAGCAATGTAACTGAGTTACTCACTATCTCTCTGAAACTGGCAATGTTACTAAGTTGCTCACTATCTCTGAAACTTACAATGTTACTAAGTTACTCACTATCTTTCTGAAACTTACAATTTACGTAAGCTACTCACTATCTCTCGGAAACTTACAATTTACGTAAGCTACTCACTATCTCTCGGAAACTAACAATGTAACTAAGTTACTCACTATCTCTCTGAAACTGGCAATGTTACTAAGTTGCTCACTATCTCTGAAACATACAATGTACTAAGTTACTCACTATCTCTCTGAAACTGGCAATGTTACTAAGTTGCTCACTATCTCTGAAACATACAATGTTACTAAGTTACTCACTATCTCTCGGAAACTAACAATGTTTCTAAGTTACTCACTATATCTCTGAAACTGACAAGGTAACTGAGTTACTCAGTACATTTATAAAATAAAAATGGAATGGAATGACACAGTACCTTTTCTAAACTGTCAAAATAATTATGTATCATTTTTAGACTAACAAGGTAATTGAGTTACTCAACATCTCTCTAAACCTAACCATGATGGTGAACGTGTACATTTGCCGTTACAATACTTTTTAACATAACTATTTTAGAAGACGATTACGACGACAATTACAAACTAGTTATTTTAGTGAAAGAGTGCGTGATTTTTGTTTATGGTTAACAACTGACAATCCATGTAACCATCCATAACATATCATTCAAACATTCTTCCCAACAGAAGGTTATCTGAGCAAATGGTTTATTTTTATGTTGTGCATATTTTTCTGAAACTAACTATACCAGTGAAGGTGTACGGGAACAATCAGTTCATGAGGTACAAAGGATGTAACCACCCTTAGCACATCATACTGCTGCTATTCCTCCCAATACAAGGTCGTTTGAGTAACGGGCTTGTTCCTATGGTTTTCTAAAGGGTGGTTACCTGAAAAAGAAAAACGTCCATTTATCCCGCCCTCTAACACAAGTCGTTCATAGAGAAGGAGGCGTACTAATATTACTAGTGGCTAATCCTTGGATTAAATTAATTCACACATTAGTTGTTTCTTGCGATGACAATAACAGTCTTGAGTCTTCGGCGAGAATAAGACATGCACACGCCTAAAATGGGCGACAACGTTCATGAATAGTAAACAAGTCGCCCGAAAATAATTTCTTTTTGTATTTCTTTGTGCTACTGATACCGGACATAAGATCAAGTTTTTCTTAAAACCACACTAACTAAAGATTTCATTAACATTACCATTTCCTATGAGAATAGATCACCATGATATTATGCTGGGCTTGGCGTGGCATAGATTTCACAGAATGTAGTCGCTTTGTCGAAGAGTATGGGCAATAACTGGTTAAATGATTGTCTGGGACTATGGGCTGTAATTGATTCAGTGATTCAAAGTCAGTTTACCTAGGACTGTGGGCTGTAATTGGTTCAGTGATTCTAAGTCAGTTTGTTTAGAACTGTGGGTTGTAATTGGTTCAGTGTTTGTAGTCTGTTTGTCTAGGACTATGGGCTGTAATTGGTTCAATGTTTGTAATCTGTTTGTCAAGTGCTATGGGCTGTAATTGGGTCAGCGATTGTAGTCTACTTGTATAGGACTATGAACTGTATTTGTTAAATGACTGTAGTCTGTCGAAGAATAGGGGCTGTACTTGTTCCAATGTTTGTAGTGTGTTTATCTAGGACTATGAGCTGTACTTGTTTCAATAATTGTATCCTGTTTGTCCAGGGCTATGGGCTGTACTTGTTTCAATGTTTTTTTTTTCTGTTTGTCAGGATTATGGGCTGTATTTGGTTCAATGGTTATAGTTTGCTAGGACTATGAACTATAATGGGTTCAATGATTGTAGTCTGTTTGTCGAGGAATATGGGCTGTATTTGGTTCAATGATTGTAGTCTGTTAGGACTATGGGCTGTATTTGGTTCAATTATTGTAGACTGCCAGGACTATGGGCTGTAATGAGTTCAATGATCGTAGTCTGTTTGCCGAGAGTCATGGGCTGTATTAGGATAAGTACGTTCAAGCTCATCCCAAAAATGAGTCAGGTCACTAAGATGGCTGTATTGCATATCCTTTGGACCGTTCGTGGCTTTGAGGTTAGCGTGCCGGACTGTTTAGCGTTCCATTGCTGAAACAATTGTACTCCGCACTTCTGAAGGTTGGCAGACAAATCCCACTATTCTATTATAGAAGCCCAAGAGTTAGTAGTGGATGCTGTTAACTAGCCTTCCCATCTATTCTATCAGTTCAAAATTAGGGATAGTTAGCGTAAATAGATCTTTGCTTAGCTTTGTGCGGATATCTGAAACAAACAAACCATATTTAATTATACTTGTCATAAGATATTAATGTTAGATCTATTGTATTTTTTAACACTACATTCTTTATCTAGTCCATCAGAGATTTTCAAGAATCAGACGAAGGTATAATAACAGTGTTGCAACTACACTATGTTCGCCAATCCGTCGTCAACGACACGTTTCGTTCAATCCAGAGCTCTTCAGAACAGATTGGATACAATAAACACAGTAGTGGTCGAAATACATTTTATATAAGCCATTTGTTACAACAACAATTGTTATGCTCTGTACGCCTTCTCCAAACTGGCGAAGCATGATTGTAATTAATAATAATTGTCATGAGATATTAGTATTAGGTCTGTTATATTTTTAAACATTACATTCTTTGTCCAGTCCATTAGGGATTTTCAAGAATTAGAAGAGTGTATAATAAGAGTGTATTCCAACCACACTGTATTCTTCTGTAAAGAAAACGATGAAATGCGACTCATCCGATTACACTCCACTTCCCCAGTCATTGTTTATTCAAATAGCTTCTGAAGCTGTGCTTTGAACCGAGTCAAGATTTTTTCTGACTAGTTCTTGGCTGATACTATGCGAATCCTGATTGACGTTGAAAGAATTGTTCAATTGGAACACTGTGTAACGCTTGTTGTGCCTTACAAATGTGTCTAATCGTCTCTTTCCTCGATTAACTCCCAGATGTTGGCGGCCAGTTTTTCTTAGTGGCAGATATGTTCCTTTACAACTGGTTCTGTTAATGCACTGTGAGAACAAATGTCTTTGAGTACTCAGTCAGAAGCGGAGAAAAACAGTTTTTCATAACTAGGCTCTTTCTAGCTAGATACTCAATCTCACGTCAAATATAGTGCAGTAATCTTTCTCTTCACAAACTACCTTTTAGACTAATCATATGACTGTAACCCTAATTTACAGATTAAACAGTCCAACTATTCATGCAGTGTATTAGATTTATCTTGGTTAAATCATTATCTAATTGGATTAAAAGGTGCAACACAAACCTAGTGAAGTGAATTATGATTAATTTATGCAGATAGTAAGACTTATATTTACCGCAAAATGGAATTAAATTAAGACTATACAATTATTCGCCAGATCGAGCAGTCACATGACTAAATATTTTCTAATAATATGTAATGATCATAATTTATGTTTCATAATAATCTTAACACATTAATTCGATAAATAAAACCATTCAACGGACAGACAAGATAAAACCAAGCCTTTCTATTCGTGGTTGATTGTATCTATATTTTTGAAGATTTGGGTTTTCTCCCTAGATAATCTGACACTTGATGAATTCATTACGATTGGTTATATCTTTATTATGAAGATTTAGGCTTTTTCTTTAGGTAATCTGACTCTTGATGGATTCGTGGTGGTTGATTGTATGTCTTTATTATAAAACTTTAGGCTTTCACTTTAGGTAACCTGACTCTTGATGGATTCGTGGTGGTTGATTTATCTTTATTATGAAACTTTAGGCTTTCACTTTAGGTAACCTGACTCTTGATACATTCATGGTGGTTGATTTATCTTTATTATGAAACTTTAGGCTTTCACTTTAGGTAACCTGACTCTTGATACGTTCATGGTGGTTGATTTTATCTTTATTATGAAACTTTAGGCTTTCTATTTATATAATCTGTCTCTTGATACATTCATGGTGGTTGATTTTATCTTTATTATGAAACTTTAGGCTTTCACTTTAGGTAACCTGACTCTTGATACATTCATGGTGGTTGATTTTATCTTTATTATGAAACTTTAGGCTTTCTATTTATATAATCTGTCTCTTGATAGATTTGTGGTGGTTGATTGTATGTCTTTATTACGAAGCTTTAGGCTTTCACTTTAGGTAATCTGACTCTTGATGGATTCGTGGTGGTTGATTTTTAAGCTTTAGGCTTTCTCTTTAGGTAATCTAACTCTTGATACATTCATGGTGGTTGATTTTATCTTTATTATGAAAGTTTAGGCTTTCACTTTAGGTAACCTGACTTTTGATACATTCATGGTGGTTGATTTTATCTTTATTATGAAACTTTAGGCTTTCTATTTATATAATCTGTCTCTTGATAGATTTGTGGTGGCTGATTGTATCTTTATTACGAAGCTTTAGGCTTTCACTTTAGGTAATCTGACTCTTGATGGATTGGTAGTGGTTGATTTTTAAGCTTTAGGCTTTCTCTTTAGGTAATCTAACCCTTGGTGGATTTGTAGTGGTTGATTTTTAAGCTTTAGGCTTTCTCTTTAGGTAATCTAACTCTTGGTGGATTCGTGGTGGTTGATTGTATCTTTATTATGAAGCTTTGGGCTTTCTTTTTAGATAGTGTAAGCTTTGATAGTTTCATGACAGTGATACACTGCATTTTTGAGATGGTATTTTTGTATTTCTACTAACACTTAATGGTTGACTGCATTTATATTATTTTACATCCGCTTCTTAGAGTACTGTAGCTGAGCTTTTAATGCATTATTCATCGAAAAAACTAACAAGTAATAACCAATTCAAAATTTCTTCAGTAAAGATTTCTTTTATTTTATTATCTTTATTTTTGTAGACAAGAAACAAAATTGCTAAAATAGAAGCAGAAAAGCGTTATGATATTCACTATCAGAAACAAAAACAACAACTAGTAAATGTCCTTAATAATCGTTTAGAATAACATTCGAGAAGAAGAATTCGTGGAATTCTACACATGCTGGTAATAGAGAGGGAGTTATAAACATATTCTGGAATCCCCCTGAGGTAGCATTTCCTGAAATTTCTTTTTCCCGTGTAAGATACAATTAAACTAATTTTGAAGACAGTTTCTTTTCAAGTAAACTGGAGAGTTCTTTGGAAAGTTGTAACCAAACCGTAAACGTTCATCAAAACAATTATATTGCTAGAATGAATCAAACAGAAGATATATTTCTCCAAAAGACATAAAGGGAAACAGGAGAAATTCAGATGGAGGAGTTTTAGAAACTGGGATAGTGCAGGCAGAGCAATCTGAGTGGTTCAGATAGAGAAACTGGTATAGTGTAACTGGAGGAATCTGGTTGCTGAAAAAAAAAAAACTGCGGCTGAACAAAACATAACTGATTTCTAAATCGTTGAATTTACATAAATTAACTAATAGAAACAAGGCTGATTCCTGGACTAATGTTGGACTAATTGGACTAATGTTGTCGAGATAACCTAATTCCTGAATATCCTGGACTATGTGGACGAGATAAGGTTGATTTCTGAGTTTCCTGGACTATGTGGACGAGACAAGGTTGATTCCTGAATATCTGGACTATGAGGCAAGATGACACTGATTCTTAAATATCTGGACTACTTGAACGTGATAATCCCAATGTGCAAAATAAAACTGATTTCTGGATACATGGACTACGTATATGTGATAAGACTTATTCCTGAACCTTCTGAGTTATGCAGATAATATTATATTACTTCCTCCACATCAAGCAGCA